CTCTTTGCTCTTCATTATTACAATAATCACTTCTTTTTTATAGGCTTCCCTATAGAAGCCTGAATAAAATTATGCCTGCTTTAATTAGTAGCAGAGGAGTGCTGTGTTCCTGGATGGATAATTTATTACATTTATATTCCAAGATTCTTCAAGGATCTCAGAGCCAGGTACCCATTTTTCCATCCATCCCCTCCCCCACAATATGATCTTTCGAATTGTTTTTAATATGTTAGGCCAAGAGAAGATAACTATTACAATGTCATTCAGTCAGTTTCATAAGAATATAAGCATTTGATCCTGAGTTTTCTCAGTCTTAAACTGACACTAACTATTACATCCAACTCAAACAAAACTACAAGGAGAGTGAGGATTATATTTATTGCTGAGAAGCGAAAGGAATTGCTTTCCCAAGTGAACAATTCCTTGAAATAAGATGGCCCATTGTGAAAAATTGTGGATATTCTAACAAGCAGCCACAAGGACTATCATACATAATCTTAAAATGGCTGCCAAGGTGGGCCTAGCTAGTCACAAAACAGCCATTTATTGGAAGGTAATGTTATATTACTTTTTCTTTGGATCAAAGGTTCATTTTGCAACTGAATACTGAAGAAACCCCTCTGTCCCTTGTATTTTGGCAAGAAAGTCTTGGAGGGTCTGAAGCGCCAAATAAAGGTGATATCCCAGGCTGAATGCTTTGCCTTGTAGCATGCTAGCTTCCCTTTTCATGATAATCCTAATGGAAAACAAATGAGACAGTTGGCCAGAGAGCATTGGGCACTGAGGAAAATGTCTGTAGCAGCAAACTGGTGCCAGTAGATACGAGACCCCTCCATTTGAATGACTTACTGGGTGCATAGTTGTCATCACTTAAAAGTAGCTTGGGAGCTCTTGCATACTGGATGACACATAAAGTTTGATATAGTGCTAACAATTTTATAGAATGGCATCAATAATAATAAAAATTAGAAGCTTCTCTTCCACTTTGGTTGTTGTAAACATTTTTCCTTTAAGGCTGAAATCCTATAGCATTACTTGAGAATAAGTAAGGGTTACTTAGATTTGAACAGCATAGGTTTGTGCTTTAAGCAAACTTTTCATCTTTCATAAAAACAACTTTAGAAGGGTATGTGTTACTTTATTTTTTATTAGGCATCAAATGTTTCTTCTTCATTACACTGACTAATATTTGGAAAGCTACCCTGGTTTCGTGAGGGAGGAAAAGCCATCAATATTTAATGAACATCAAGTGACTGCAGTGGCATAAAACAGACAGGATAGAGATCTGTAATAGGGACAGCACATGTTATGCTGATAGTTTTCTGCCAGCAAAAGGATGGGCAACATTTTTCTCTCTGTGTACTTTAAGTGAGCAGTAGTGAAAGGCCCTAAACTACAATTAATAAGGAGTTTTAACTACCTCCCTGCAGCCAGAAAATAACCACATAAGTGACTTACTCTCCTATACTATTTTCAGTTTAGAAGCATTTGTCTTGGGATGGGGGGAGATAATTAAAGGCTGGGCAAAAAGGAGAAAAGTACGGAGAGAAAATTACCTGAAGCCTTCTAGATCAATAATTGTCATGACAGGCAGACCTTTGTTAATATGATGCATTACCTGTAGTAGTAGATGGCTGAAGTCCATGATATGAAGATTTTTCTATTCATTGAACTTCTTTTCATTTTTTTTTATGTTTAGCTGGTTTCAGATAGGAGCTGTTATCGAACTCGAAGTCTAACAAAGCACAGCCCCATAATGACTACGAAAAGGCTGAATAACTTTTATTATGATAAATTAGTTAATCAATAGAGTGATTCATCTTTATGTAGAAGAATGTACTATTATTGGTTGATGGCAAGTACTAAGTGTACTACATTATAACTGTTTGATATAAAACATATATTCTATGCTACTGTATTTGAAAAATTGAAGCACTGCTGCATATTTAAGACATATTTGCACTTCCTTCTCTTCCTTTATTTTCTCTTCAATACTATATCCTAAAAATTGCCTTAATCAACAGATTTATTAAAATAAAAAAAATTAAGAATCCCAATACATACAGGGGATGTTACTCCCAAGTAAAAAAAAAAAAAAAAAAAAGGAATAGCCACTTTAGCTCAGAATTGCTCACAATTGCAAATCAAACTTGCTGCATGGCAAATTTGCTATTTATTATTATTTGCTTATTATTTGTCTTATTTGCTATTTATTATTTGGATGTAGAGGTAATGGAGGGGAAATTTAAAAATAGAACAGTGGCAGAATTTTGTCAGAGACTAACCATTTGTAGAATTCTTTACACATAATGAGTACTTCTACCAAAAGCCTTCATTTTTAGGCAAAATATTGTGTCAGTCTACCATTGTTCATTTTTATGGGGAAAAAGTCAGAAAGGGAGACCATGTTCACTGTTAAATTAGGATTGCTAATAAGGATAGAGTTATTATGTTGACCCAAACATTTTGTAATTCTTTGCATTTTTTGCCTTTGTGTGAAAATATTTTCTCTAATTTTTCTGTCACTGAGAGTGAGTGGGCAGGCAGCCATACAACTTTTCTTAAACAAATAAATACAAGCGGGTATCTGTTACATATATTTAAATATCCAGGGTTCTGGGTAGGGGCATGAAATTTCAATTTTAATATGTGCCTGCCCTCCAATAAAAAAAAATGAATACAGTGTTTTATTAAAAGTAGGTTTGAAATCCTCAGTAAATAGGGGAAAAAAATAATGACAGTGGATAAAAGGATGGCCAGATGACAAATTTCAATAAGAAACCCAGAGTTGCTAAGTCTAAAAGAATTATTAATTGCCCTGAGACTAGTAAACATTTGGCTTTTTTTTTAAATAATAAGACTTTTGTGCATTTGGAGTTTACCCTAATAAATCCTCAACCCTTTTCTGAAGCATATTTGTAATAATAATGATAATAATGCCTGCATCACTGCAAAATCTGTTACTGTCAGGTATATTCAGGTGAAAAGAACTTTCAGCTTAACAATATACAATTCGTATGACTTTTTTTTCAAATGCTGCACCAGTTTAGTTTATAAAATCTCCATCATTACACCCATTCTCTCTTGTTGGATTTCTGTTCTGAAGATATCTATTTGGCTTAGAACTCTATGCATGTTTTTAAAAATTTCACCCATACCCCAAAACTGGCATTGGTTTCGGATGGTTCACTTGTTCCCCTTTTGTCCCTCGATTTTGATGACAAGAGATTGAAACCTTAGATGCCCTAGACAAGAGAAAAATAATTTTAACAAAGCGATTCGTGAATGGAAATATTGTACACAGTCTGTATTCCAGCTGAGAGCCAAAGAAGGAAATAAGCAAAATGTTAACCTTCAGACATCAAATATGGTTTATGCAGACCTGCAGAGTCTAGCTGTAGAGTTTTCCTGTGAGCAGGTATCTGAAACGTTGAGGTTGAAATTCTATACTAATCTGTCCTGTTGTTGTTTGGATGGTGGTTTCTTTTCTACATACATTCAGCAGAGGACACTATCAGAACAAGTCTGTGTTTGTAGTTCCCCAGAAATGCTATTAGAGTCAAATGATTCTTGGCTAAATCATGACAACTATAGAAACAATAGAAATATTAAGCACCAAATTTTCACCAGAAACACATCAGTAATGAGTTATTTCCATACAGAGATTCAATCCTCCATTTTCATTTTTTTTGTTTTCCTTTTTTCCTTAGAAAATAGAAAAACATAAACAAACCAGAGAATGCCATAAGATCACTTTAAGGCTCACACAAAAAACAAGCTGCATCATTGCAAATTCAATTCATATATCCCTCTTCGTAGCCTTAAAATGATGCCTGTAGTCAGAAGCCCAATTTCCAATCAAAGCATGTTCCTTTAAATGGACTTTCTTTTTGCTACTATGCTGAGTTTTATTAAGACTGAAAATGATTGGGAGAGGGGAGGAGAGAAATTGTTATGGAATTTTAAAATACTTTATCAACTCCTTCAAATAGTACTTCTTTTCTCTCATGCTTGTTTTTTGGTACTTAATTTAAAATTAAAGGTTATCTAAAAGGCGTTCTCAGAAATCAAATAGACCAGTTATGCTTTGAAGTTTAAAGATACCAATGACAATTGCATTGAAAAGCCAATGAAATCACTTGCTTTTGGAGACTTGCACCTTGGTTCAACTTTTTCAGACAAGGAGAGATGTAAATGGATGCAATGCTTTCCCTATTCAATTCAAGGAAATAAACAGTTTTGCACATGAACTTTTTTAAACATCTCCAGTTTCAATGAACTGGGCAGACTCTGTGCCAGAAGGGACATTTTTGTGCTTCTGAGCCATGCTAATTGTTGAGTCATTGTACAATAGATGCAAATCAAAATCTGGGGTTTCATTTCTTTTTTGGGGAAAAAAGAGGATTATACCCTGAGATTCAAGCTTAATACAGTGAATCATAAAGAATCACCCCCTTTTTTCTACAGCAGGGATGCAGTTAATGTACAGTCCCATTCAAAATGACATGAGAAAGTGGAACTTAAATATATCAAATTAAAGTGACTTTTATGCCAATCAAAACATAGCCACGATCCCTCTTTAAACTTAGCCTGGCATTTCCTTCACTGGGGGGTGGGTGGGAGGGTAATCATTTTCACCTGTCTTGTGCCAATCTAACAAAACCAATGGCATTTCCTTTTTACCTGATTCTTTTGTACAATTTCATATTATGTATAAACACATACACACACCTATGTGTGCGTGTGTCACTATATCTATTTATCTATCTATCTATCTATTTATATGTCATTAAAATAATCAAAACATTTTGCATGAGGAAGGTGACAGTACGTAATGAAACTCAGCACCTAAGGGCATAAGGCAGTTGTAGGTTTTTTGTTTGTTTGTTTTATTTTTTTATTATTAGTATTATTATTTTCAATCAGCACCAATCCCTATAATAATGTCCTACACTTGGTGTAAGATATAAAACTCAGAGGTGAAGTAATTAATTTTTCTCCAACCTCTGAATCGTGGAAGTTTGCAATACTGGTTGGTTTGTGTTGTTGTTCTTGCTTTCTCCTGTGTGTAAAAAACAAAAGAAAACCTTTCATTTCATTTTTACTTATAAAACATAGAGGATCTCTCTTCCCTTTAAATACATACAGCAACCAGAAAGAAAACTTATTGGAAGGTTATTTCAGAACTGTCTTGACCATAAACAGTTAACCCACCTCTCTCTCCCTCCCCCACCCCCATGAAATCCCTCTTTTAATAGGTGGGTGTTTATTTGCAATAGTGTGCATGTCTGTGTGTGTATGTGTGTGTGTGTGTGTTTGTGTGTGTAGGGGCATTTGCATTTAAAGGAGCTTTTAAAGTGAAGATTCATACTGTAGCAATTCATACAAGAGAGGTCCATCTCTATACCTAATGCCTACAGCGGTGGGGGTGACGTACTGGAGAATGTTTATAGTCCTTCTCAACCTTCGGTCTACAAAATGAGCATCCCAAGCTGGGTATCTCTTTCTTGGGATGTCTATCTTAATGAGAGGGCCTTCTGGGTGGAATGGTCTCCCAGACGGAGTTGATGGCACCATAGCTCTCACTTGGAAAACTGGTAAGCATGTGTCAGCTGTGAGTTCCTCCTGTTGCTCCGTGGCCGCTCTGGGTGGCGTAGCCTGGGCCACCCTATACCCAGGGGTTTGAGGAGCCATGGGTTCAATGTCAGGGGGCAAAGGAATGCCCCAGAGCAGCTCGGCGCAACAGGAGCTGGCAAAAATCTTAGCTCTCGGCCCCATGGGATGCAGGACGCCGTAATATAAGAGCATCAGCGCTATCCCAGCAGCAAAGCTAAGAAAGACACAACAAAGCGCTGGCACAGCATATGAGTCAGTAGTGTCGGGATCTCGGTAACAATACCAAAGGAGCGTCAAGGCAGCATTCTCTGTCAAGACTATGGTGTAATAGGCAAACATTCGGTATCGGGTCCGCCCTTCTTTGACATTAAACCAGCAAAAAATGTACACAATCCCTACCACCATGTTGAAGAGAATCTCTTCCCATTTAGACATGCAGAAATCTGTCCCACCATGGATGATCCAGAAGGCCATGGCGCACCAGTGGACCACGACAAAGATCCCAAAATAGAGCTGGAAGATGGAAGCAAAGAGGGCAAAAGAGATAACTCTGGATGAGATGGTGAAGAGACGCCAGAAGAGATGGATAAGGGCTCCTCTATAACTCATGCTCTTCTTATCATCCCTAGAGTCCCGGAGAAGCTTGTGATAGGAGGCTAGCACCCAAGCCAGGGACATCAGGGAGGCCACAGAGGATACACCTGCCGGGAGAACACACACAAATCCACAGAGTTAAACTGGAGACACAGGAGAAAGGACGCAGTTGCTTACATCATCCTCTTGAGGGGCAGGTGTGAAACATGATTATAATGCGAGTCAGGTTAGCGAAAAAGATCTAGAGGAGGAAGAGAGAGAAAGAGAGAGAGAAAGAGAGAGAGAGAGAGAGAGAGAGAAATAAGCATAAACATGATCCCACCTGTAATAAATGCTGACTACCATTTGCAAAATTTTATCACCTAAAGAAGCAGCAACTGTAATTTATATGCAATTATGGTTTATGATGATGGCTGTCATTGCTTATCAATAAAAGGCTGTGATTCTTAAATTGCTAATATCCTCTGTGACATCACAAGTAAGCAAGTAATGAATCAAAGAATAACAGAGTTGGATGGAGGTCTTGTAGTCCAGCCCCTTGCTCAAGTAGCAGACCCTATACCATTCCAGAAAAGTGGCTGTCCAGTCTCTTCTTAAAAGCCTGTGATGGAGCACCCACAACTTCTGAAGACAAGCCGTTCCACTGGTTAATTGTTCTCACTGTTAGGAAATTTCCCCTTAATTGTAGGTTGCTTCTTTCCTTGATTAGTTTCCATCCATTGTTTCTTCTCTTGCCATCTGGTGCTTTGGAAAATAGGTTGATCCCCTCTTCTTTGTGGCAGCCCCTCAAATATTTGAGCACTGCTATCATGTTACCCCAATCCTTCTTTTCACTAGACCAGTCAAACCCAATTCCTGCAACTGTTCTTCATATGTTTTAGCCTCTACTCCCTAATCACCTTTGTTGCTCTTTTCTGCACGCTTTCCAGAATTGCTACTTCTTTTTTATAATATAGTGACCAAAATTGGATGCAATATTCTAAGTGTGCAGTACTAATACTTCACATAATTCTCATTCTGTCCCTCTATTAATACATCCAGAATTGCGTTGGCTTTTTTGGCAGCTGCTGCACACTGCTGGCTCATATTTCAGTGATTGTCCACTAGGACTCCAAGATCCCTATCACAGTTACTGCTTTTGAGCCATATTTCATCTAATCTCTACCTGTACGTTTGATTTTTCTTGCCTAAATGTAAAACCTTGGTTTTCTCTACATTGAATTTCATTTTGTTAGATAATGGCCTAAGTGATTATGATTTCTAACTTCCTGAATTAAAGTTGTCCAGGAAAAAAAAGTGAATTGTGAACTTTTTTCCACTCTTATTTGAAATCCTGCCATTGAGAGACATTTGTTGAATTCAGCTCTGTACAAAATAGGCTCAGAATCGTCTGTCTATTTTGCCATTACACGTGCTCTCAGATATGTGTCTCATCTTAGTTTATATTCTGATTCATGCATGATAAGAAATCTTTGAAAGTGGCACTAGTGTAGTTTTGTCCAACAGCCACAGGTTACAACAGTGTATTTTAAAAGGGAATTAGAGAATCATGAACATATACAAAGTGCTATTCTATTGAGATATCTCCACAACAAATTGGGTAAATATCAGAGTTTAGGTCATTAATCTATCCAGTTTTTATGCTCTGCTGCTGAGTTGTGGCCTTTTCACAACAAGCTTGTAGTTGGTCTCTGAAAGAGAACTGACCCTGACCTCTCCACTTCTCTTCTCTATTTTGACAGTCTAGTCTGCCTTTTACAGATATCATCCTGCATATGGACTATAACACTTGATTGGGAATACAGGATATCTGGCTATAAAGACAGGAGTCAATCCCTACTCAGCTGCCTGTGATCTTTATAGCAGACGACTTTGCTCCTGAAGATGCCAGCCAAAGTTGCTGGCCAAACACCAAGTAATCTGTGGTTTAGACCATGGACACTAAATCCTAAAGCCCATCACTAACTAAATTTTTCCCTAACTAGGACTACTATATCGGGGTGGCAAAACTTCAAAAAAGGGTACTTCAACGACTCTCTATAACAAGGGTGTCAAACTCAAGGCCCAGGGGTTGGATTCAGCCCACAGGGTGCTTAGATCTGGCCCATGGGGCTGCCCTGGAAACAGTGAAGGACCAGCCTGTGGTGCCTCTGCCAGTGAAAACCAAGCTCAGGGAGGCTGTGCAAGGCCTGCCTAGGCTCCATTTTTGGCCGTGACGGCCTCCTACAGCCATCTGCCAATGAAAATGGAGGCCCAGGGAGGCTGCACACTCCGTTTTCTCTGGCAGAGGGCTGCAGGAGGCTGTCGCAGTCGAAAATGGAGCGTCAATGAATGACGTTGAACTGGCCACACCCACCCTGGCCACGCACTCCAGCCACACTACCCAGCCCCCCAAGATCAAACACAACCCTGATGCGCCCCCCCTCTGAAAGGATGAAAATGACCAGCTGTCTGCAAGGAATATAAATCCTTCCATTCCCCACTATCCTGTCAGAACTGAAGAAGCTTCTTAGATGAGAAGCAAAACATCTTCAAAGAAAAAACAAGAAAGTCCAGTTGCCTCATGAAAAAGCACCTTTGGGACACCAGTTTTGTGCTTCCATCTAGTAATTGTTCAGATGCTTGCAGCCCAGATAGGGCAGCCATATTTTAACATGTAGTTTTCCATGTGAAAACACTTGTCATGAATGGAGGCTCTTTTCTGCTTTGCTACTCTGCATCTGAATTAATATACTTTATGCTTAGATTTACTGCCTTGGTAAATGTAAAACAGTTGAGTCACATGAGATGGATGGCTTATAAATTGAACAAATAAAAGAAAAGGCAGGGTTTTCACTCTCTTGTCATGTAAAACAGTTTAAAAGCCACACCAAACTGTAGATGACAAGTTGAGTGCTGCACTCCAAAAGGGAATGGAATTAATGATCCACTGATTTTGAAAGGGGTTTCAGGAATTTTGAAGATAATCCGTTAGCCTTAAATACCTGCAAAGTTCCTTAAAACCTTGACCCCCCCTCCAGGGGCGGGTTCTACTTACCTTTACTACCGGTTCGCAATGGGAGCGTGTGCGACAATCAGCTGTGCCGCGAGATCCTTGGAACCTTTTTTTACCTTTTTAAAGCATTTTTTTACTACCAGTTCGCCTGAACTGGTAGTTTTTATCACTACTGGTTCGCCCAAACTGGAGCAAACCGGTAGCATTTCACCCCTGCTGTAACCCTATAATAAAATAGCATTAGCATTCAGTGTAGTGTGACTCTGGCATCCTAGTTTAGTCTATCTTGAATAGGTGACACATTTCAACCTCCAGCGCAGAACTCCTTATTTGTCAGACGACCCACAATCTGCTATCATATACGAATAACAACAATATCTTGCCTTCCTATCGTTCATTGGAGTGGCATCTTTTATGGTGGATGGGGGTCCAAAAAAATCAAAATGGTAATTGTGATGATGTGAGTGAAGCCCCACTCTCTTTTTAGGTGCCACCTTAACACTTTCATCTCCTTTCTGCAAATGCCCTGATCTACTGAGTGCTTCTGGGTATTGTAACCCATTGTTATTAGGGAAGATTAAATTGCTGCTGAGTTAATTCTCTTCAAAGGGTGGATAAAGCAGAAATAAAGACCCTGGGGGCTCTTAAGATGTCTTAGGGCTAAGGACACTAGAATGCTTTAAAACTTATGTGAGATGGTCCTGTATGAGTTAATAGTGTTGTTTCTCCAGTTTAGAACAATAACAAGAAATTGAAATAGCAGATAAACATGTTCTCCTATTATATGCATGTGTATGTGTGTCTGAGAAAGAGAGAGAAGAGAGGTAAGGAGAGGAAGAAAACAAACATAATTTCATTCTATGCTTGCTGGCACTATCTAGGCCAGTTGCTTCTCAGACTTGGCAGCTTTAAGATGTGTCAACTTCAGCTCCCAGAATAGCCAGCGCTGCTTCGGGAATTCTGGAGTTGAGGTCCATACATCTTAAACTTGCCAATTTTGAGAAATAGTGATCTAAACTCAGAAAACCTAAAAACATTTCATTTGATATCCATTGCAAAAAAATGAAAAAATTAAGAACTTGTCAGAAATTTCTTTTCTGCCTAAATCAAAGGCCTCGGGGTCTGTAGCTAGAAGCTAGCTTAGCTCACAGTACTTTGGAGTTTGTGAATTCTCCAAGTCCTTTTAAAACATAGGGGGAAAAATAGTTGTGCCATATCAGCAGTTATTTCGGAATCAGAATTTCCCATGAGTTTGTAAAAGGAAGTCCAGGATTAACGGAATGGGGTTAAATCCTGTTCTCTGCCAAGACTTACTTCATAAACAAAATCATGGGAATGGGATGTGTTATGCTAGAAGCAGTGAATTGCTGAGTTCACATTCCTTCAGAGTTAATCAGTCAGAGGCTGAAGCTAAGGACAGGGTTTTAGAATACTTTATATTCTCTTTTTAATACCTTTCTTCTCTTTCTTTTTCTCTTCTGCCTCCTGTCCTCCCTCTCTCCTTTTCCCTCATCTCTTTATGCAGCAAGTACTGGACTGCTTTTGCCAGGGGACTGAACTGATCATCAGGCAAACTATGGGCAAGAGAGATAGTGTTTTACCAGCCATTTTTAATGGCCAACATTCACTGCAAATTTTTCGTTCTCACTGCACTGTATCCAGTTACAATCCTTCAGATTCTATTTACTTTATACTATTACCTTCCTCCAAATTTATACACAATAAGTTACGTGCAAAAAAAAATTGCATTGTTGAAATGGCACTATTATTGTTAAATCACTCCATGGTTTCCTTCTTGGAAAATCAATATGTAATAATGAAAAAGCAAATGCTAGACACCTGCCTTCTTCTCTAATGTTCCACAAGAATGTTCACTGCAAGACAGGCAGGGGAAAGTAGACTGAGATTCTGCAAAAGCAGGAATGGAAGCCTTCTCACAGACCTTCTTAGAGGAAATGCCTTTTAGCTTTCAGAAATTCTGCACTACACCTTCTTTAATCTTAAGGAAGTACAGGGTTGGGGGAATTGTGGAATTCTTGGCGCTTTCCGAGTTTGCTTGTTTGTTTGCAGACATTTCATTACCCAACTGTCAGGGCCATGCACTGGTGATGTTTCCTAGTTAGAAAATGAGATGTCTGCAAGCAATCTCAGAGAGCACCAAGGATCCCACAGTTCTACCCTAAAGTACAGTAAAGTATTCTCTTCAATTGGGGGAATTACCCTTGACTAATGTGAAGGACCACATCAACCACTGAACCTTCCACCTGGGTGAGAAATCCAAACATGTCCCACACTCTTTCACAACGAGGAGCACCAGTCAGATCACTTACACGGTAAAGCTTCTGCACGGTTCTTCTGGATCATTATGCAGAGTTGTAGCACCAATTGTGGGGCGCTCTCGAGAAAGGTCTCTAAGAGGCGCAGCATGTTGACATCTGCATACTCGTACATCATAGCCCAGTAAAAGCGCCGCTGGTGTTCCTTTTGCCTCTGGCTTTGGATCCCCAGATACATGGTTCGGATATACCTGGAGACAGGAAGAAAGTATGGACAAAATATGAAATGATGAGAGAATCAGGTGAAAGGTAATTCCTTCATCCGTGTTAGTTCATTGTCTCTCCTCCTAACCCCAGTGTTTTCCATTTATCATTCTTCTAAACTGTCCAGTCAGAGATATTACTTCTTTTCTCAATGTAATACATTTTCTTACGTTTTCTTAAATGAAAACATTTAGCATTGTTCCTTGTTTGGGGAGGATGCAGGTTATGTATTGCAACAAAGAATCAAGTTAAAGTATCTTGTTCTCCAATGATCAGAATGGAGTTCCTTCTCTAAAATGGAAAAAAAAAATACAAATACTTTTTTAATATGAGGAATAATTCTTGTAGGTCAATTAAAGAGGAGCAGTTGCTTATTTTATCAAAACCTTTCAAACTGACTGTCATAGAAACAATGATGGCAAATCTACATAGTCTTACTTGAAATAAGTCATCTATTTTAAGTGGAGCATTTTTAGGTATACATACAGTATATAAGGCTGTACTATGAATATTGTTGGCTGACTTATAGCACCATAGCATTTTCACCTATTTAATACAAATAGCGATTACATACTGTACACCTCAACATCATCATCTTCATTTCTTTCTTACAAACTTGATGTATTTCAAGTACTTACAGCTTGTAACCCTGAGGTCAGCATCCAAAGCAATATTCTTAAAAAAAAAAATCTCTAACACCAAAGTTCAAACACACTGATAATGTGTACTTTAGCCCAGTGTATTGGCCTAAACAAGTGGTTTATTTAATTAGTTCAAGGTTTGCATGTCTTCATTTTCTTAGGAGATGGTGTTAACTCCATAAATCATGCATAAGTTAAAAATGTGCTGTGCATACATGAATAAAAGGACAATTCTGATTAGTTGACCAATGCCTCTTACTTCAGAAAATAAATGATTGCAGAATGAATGAAAGTAATACCTAAAACCTTTCTTCAATGTGCAATGTGAGGATTGATACCCGTCCAGCCACTCAGAATCTTTTGGATTCTGTGGCCTTAATAAATTTAAATAAAATTAAAAAGCAGATAACTTGATTAGAGAACTGGGTTAGAGCAACTGTGTCCCACTACCAAAACTTCAGGAAGGGTTATTGATCAATCAATCTCTCCCAGAGAAACCACCATCAACCAGAGTGAACAACAGTGACATAAATGGACAGAGATCCGGTTAAAGGCAAATTATTATGTTCTTATTTTCAACTGTGAAAAGGATGGAGAATGTTCTTCATGTATGGTAAGATGGTTTTGGTGAAGCTTAAAAATTTCATCCTGATTTGTAAACTAGCTGTAGTAATAGCAGCAAAACAAGGTCAACTCTGAATGAAGCAGGATGGCCTGGAAAACTTGTTTTTTTTTTCCTAAAAGAATAAGCAAGAAGTGACTCAGGTTTGACACTAGATGGCAATATGCTCTAATTATACAAAATTTGATATTTAAGGTGTAAAGTCATGCCTTGGACAAAAATAGGATTCTACTTTCCATTCCACTTACATTTAAAAAATGATTTCACTGTACACATAGCAGTGGGAGCAGGAGGAAATATCAAAAGAATTTCTACTTCTGAGAGGTCCATGATGCTCTCTGAGCTTGGTTGTTTTCTTGCAGACGTTTCATTATCCAAAGTAGGTTACATCATCAGTGCTTGTCTGTGCTAGCTCTGATGATATTACCTAGTTTGGGTAATGAAACGTTTGCAAGAAAACAACCAAGCTCAGAGAGCACCAAGGACCCCTTATTTCAACCCTGAGCTACAATTCCCACTTCTTTTTACCTTTTGTGTAAAAAGCAATTGCTACTAGACTGAACAGAAAAAAAAACTTTGTTTAAAAAAAAACTTGAAATCTTCTTTTCACCTTATGATCTTTGTGAATCAGAGTTGACATTGTGATTGTAATGTCATTACAGTGCATATTACGGTATCTCATTAACCTCAGTGACATCACTGAAGGCAAAGAAAGGCTATGACTTTAGGGTTCCCCCCCCCTTATTTTTTATGTTTTTTTGTCATTCCTTTTGTTTTATTGTTGTGAGCTGCCCAGAGTTAGGCAGCACACAAGTTTAATAAATCAATATCATTATTATTTATTCTGAGTAAGAAGAAAGTATAGACCCCCTTGCCCAGATAGTTTAGGTAACATCAATGTTTTTACAGTATAGTACTGGTATTTTTTAATGCAATTTTATCATTTTAGTTACATACGGTAATTAAGCCACTTTGCCCAAATTTAGTCTGTAGGATATAGATAGATGGCTAAGAAAATGTACCTAGATGCATTCCTCTGTTGTGTCGGTCTTTGCAAATCTGTATATTCATAAAAGCATCCTTACTAGTTAACTGTGTGCCACTGGAGAAAACTAAAAACCAGCCTAGCTTGCATTAGACACCAGCAAGATACTACACCTGAATTGCTTAGCACATTGTAAGCCGCCCTGAGTCTCCGGAGAAGGGCGGCATATAAATCAAATTAAAAAAAATAATAATTGATTGCTAATAGGTTTTTAATACACTTCAAAGTACTGGTTTTCACTTTAAAGTATTCATCTACTGGCATCCATCTGTCCAATATATTTTCTTCTTCTTCTTCTGTTCAATTGTGTCTGATTCTTGGAGACTGGATATAACCCTGCAGTTTTCTTGGCAAGGTTTTTCAGAAATGGTTTGCCATTGCTGCTTTCCTAGGACTGAGAGAAAGTGACTGGCCCAAGATCATCCAACTGGCCTTGTGCCTAAGACGGGACTAGAATTCATGATCTTGTGGTTTCTTAACCTGATGCCTTAGCCACTAGACCAATGAACTCTCATCCAATTTCTTACCCTAAGAGAAACTTGATATTTCCTCATTTTCATGTAAAAAGGGGGACTGAGACCAGGAGGCTCCTCCATTACGGTCCCGATATTGTGGAACAGCCTGCTCCATTCTTGATCACATTCTGGAAGTTGATAAAGACAAATCTTTTTCATTGAAGTTTCAGGGACCGAGAAGATGTTGTTGCCTGTTGTATTATAATGCTCCAGTTTTTATTTATGGTTTTAATTATTATTACTATTATTGTAGATGTTTTAATTTAATTTCTTAATTATTAATTTATTGTGGATGTTTTATTGTATTGTTCTGTTGCTAAACACCAGGAGTTATCCTAAAATATGGCCGCATACAAGATTGAACAAGCAAGCAAGCAAGCAAGGAAAACATTGCCTTGATTACTTGGACGGGGGTGGGGCGGGGAAGATTGTAGTTGATGGTTATAGGAGAGTGCAAAATATTGCCAAAAAAGTAGCAAAACTATTTGCTGGTGGGTTTCTCAGTGGGTTTCTCTTTGAAGTGCAAATGCCCCACAGTCACAGGTCTCTGTTATAGTAAATAGATGCCAGTGAATGCCAGATTTACATCTCTGAACAAATTCATTTGACTCTCTCGTGGTGCAACTGAAGTATAAATGAAACTGGATAAAGGTAATGATATTTGCAGAGCTGTCAACCACGTTAGATGGCTTCAAGTGTTGGGGCATCATGGTTGCCTGAACAGAAATAGGGAACAAGACCAATCTTCAACTTCTGGAGAACCTTTCTCCATAGGAAGATATAGTTAGGGAACAATAAGCATCTGGAAGTGTGATGACAATCTCTAAAATATAAATGTATCTTGAAACTTGATTAAAGAATATTTGCAAGATAACAGCTATAGAATGCAAAGTTTACAATGAGCTAAAAGGCTGGGCCAGAATTGGATGGAGCAGTGGAAAAAAATATGTAGCCAAGGAGAATAAATCTAGAGATGGTAAACTGCAAGCAGCATCTGAGTTAAAAAGCTGGAACAGGGATGTCAGGAGACATATGGAGAAAGAAGGTGGAAGGCTGTGAACAGAACGAGTGGGCAGAGATACTTGGAAGCCTTCAGTAGAAAAGCAAAGTCCTAAACTGACTCAGCACCATGAAGACTGAAGGAATAAAGGGATGTCTGAAGGGGAACAGGAGGCAATAGGAGAATAAATAGCCACTTCAGTTTTATTACTCTTCAGCAGGGATGGGTTCTACTTACCTTTACTAGCGGTTCGCAACGGGGCCGTGTGTACGTGCTCGCTTTGCTTGTGTGCGTGTGTGGAAGCGCAGAAGTTTGTGCACATGCGCAGAAACATTTTCATGACGTCAGGGTCAGTGGACAGGGCTCCTGCCAGTTTTACTACTGGTTCTATAGAACCGGTGTGAACCTGGGACAACCCACCACTGCTCTTCAGCATTGGATGGTCCACTATAAAGTGGAACCATTGCACAAATCGGAAGTGGTCACAGCTCAAACATTTGTTTGAAAACTCACCACTTTTGTCAGGAGAAACACTAGATGAATGCATTCTCCAATAATATCTCACAGATAGAGTTCCCTCTAAGCCAAGGGTGTCAAACTCAAGGCCCACAGGCTGCATCCGGCGCACGGGGTGCTTAGATCTGGTTCACGGGGCTGCCCTGGAAACAGCAAAGGACCGGCCCACAGTGCCTCTGCCGGCAAAAATGGAGTTCGAGAGGGCCCATTTTTAACCACAATGGCCTCCTGCAGCCCTCTGTCAGCGAAAACAGGCCTGTTTTCGCTGGCAGAGGGCTGCAGGAGGCCCGCACCCCCCCGAGCTCCGTTTTCACTGGCAGAGGGCTAAATGAACTAAAAAAAAAAAAAAACCGAAGGAGAAATGTTTCCCCTTTTGCATTTGTGCATGCAAGAAGGAACAGGAAAGGAGAAAGGGAAAGAGAAAAAGGAAAGAAAAAGAAAAGGAAAGATGGGAAGAAAGAAAAAGGAGAAAGAAAAGGAGAAGGAAAAAAAAGAAAAGGAAGGAAGGAAGGAACGAAGGAAGGAAGGGAGGGAGGGAGGAAGGAAGGAGAGAGAGATTATAATGAGAGTGAGGGAGGGTCTGAGGGAAGTCCTGCCTTAGCACTTGGCCACCACAGGTGACGCTGAGCTGGCCATGCCCACCCCAGC